ATCCATATCACAACCAGTTTTGATGACCAGTGGTTGATTTATGGGCAGAGATGACAATGGTTTGTTGCATGGCTATACTAGCGAGTTGGTTTGCCCCTCAGGCAAGCAAACTCGCTATGGGCGATCCTTTGGCCCTCTCGGATCAAAGGAAATTACTAATGCATTTAAAGGAGGACTGTCTGATGTATCGGCAACCACTGGTATCAGTCGCCAGTATGGCACAATCAGCGCCATCGGCAATCAACAGGTTTGCTAGCTGTTAGTGCGGATGTGCAAAGAAGAATGCGAAGAACGAAGAAAAAGAACTGCATGAAGGGGTCTTGGCATCTGATTCTCAACTGCAATAGGAAAAAATTAGGGCCAAACAACATGAGTGGATGTCATTTTCGATAGTTGGGGGCATGTTTGGTTTTATTACCCATCGCGGTCACACCTCCCCCTTGCACTGCCTGACCACAGGCGAGGGATTCTGGAAGGTGGATAGTGGTCCTTGCCCAGATCGAGGTCAGATAGGCCGTTCCTGGATGGGAATGGGTCAAGATTGGTTTAGGCCTGAGTGTCTGTTCGAGGGTTTGATATAGGCCTACTAAATCAATACCCTCAAGGCATGTACCTTCATAATCCAACTTTTCTGTAGCATGCAGCGCTACAGCTGCTTATTTTCCTTCCCGATTCCTTAAAGAAGAAAGTGTGTGAGAGTGGTATTCGTCTAGTGCAATGCTATTCTTATCGCCCAAATTTGACCCGTGGTAATATTTTTTCGGACCCTTGATCTCAGAAGAATCGTCTCCAGGTCATACGCTTTCGAATGACATCTCACCTATGAAAATTCATCCAGAAGGAGTTTCCTGGAATGACACTTTGACACGGACAGATTAGCCTCTTATGTATTATCTCTATGTATATGGATGAGAAATGGTCGGACATTGAATTCACACAACCGATCCCTAAGAAAAATATATTTTTTTCGGTGTAAGTGGTATTCTCATACGTTTCAGATGTCACGAAACTGCCTTGCTCGGTTCCTCCTGCCGGGAGAGTATCAAAATATCGAACACCGATTCATCGAAAGTAGCATCGCCGAAAACTCGAGAGGTCGATTTATCAACAGGACGAAACTCCAAATAACGAATAAATTTGTGGAAATGATATTTCGCCGAAGCAAAACCTTTTCGATGAAAACTGATTTTCGTTGAAACATCAAAATGTAGGAAAAAGAGCAATTTTGGAATAATGGGTTTCATCGAGAACGTCAAGGTCGAATAGTAGTATATGAAAGACACCGGTATGTTGCATTCATAAAAAAAAGAAACAGTAGAGGAAAGCCCTCTCAAAAAAGGCATTTTTTGGATGGGCCTAGATGGACCAAGATGGTAAGTACTCTGCTAAAGGGGACTTCACCATATCTTATGTCCATCTGTATCACAGCCATACGCCGGCAACCAGGACCAAGTGTATTTACTGTATTTCTTCCTGCGAAGCGCCTATGAGTTATTTGTCCCTGATGACTTTTAATATCACAGATTCACTTTGTAACTTGATAGCCTCTAGAGATTCTTGAAGCTTATTTAAGCTCCTGCTCAACGTTGGGCATAGGCCTGACAAGTAGCGAACGAAGATTCCACGGGAATAAAAAAATTGGATGCAGCTACGAGCCAAATGCCTTACAGGCATAGAAATATTGGGTTAACGGAAAAGTCAAAATCCTAGCGCGTTCATACTTTATAAGGCTCAATGATTTTTCAGTGCCCTACCTTGTTCCACCAGGAATGTATGTATCCAAACTTATCCTGGCCTTGTGGAGACTTGATCACTTCTAACATGATTCAAATGTGCAACGCACATCGGAATGTAACTAGACAGTAGCCTGGGCACAATTGACTCGACATGAATCAAGTTGGCCAAAACGAAGAAAATAAAACCAGTATTTTTTCGGCTTTGTAAGCCTTTGGTGACCTAAACCTTTCGATCTTCAGACACAGCTATGAACGAATCTTTCAATGTATGGTCGCGTTCGCTCAACAAAGGACATGGACACAGAAACTATCTAGGACTATTCATCAGTAGGCGCGGTAGCGCCTATTACCTTTCTGTAACCCCATTCTGTAACAAAATGCAACCTCCTCGTACTCCTCTCTCATAGCATCGAGAGGAACGAAATTGGCATTTTTCCTCTCTCAACACAGAATCGCTACAGCAAATTTGAAGCTCCATCTCCCAGTGGTTGAGGAGAACTCTGAATCTCGCTTTTTGAAGTGAAATTCATTGTTTTTCTTTTTCTTCACTACCAGGGTAGTCACTCCTGGGGGGCTTTCGGAGGAAAGAGACCAATCATAAATAAATACATCTGTGAATGACGAAAAGTGACCATTTAGTTATTTGCTGTGCAGCATATAACCATAAAACAATAAATTAGCTTTCGTTCATTTAAGTTTGGCGTGCTGGCTCTGGTCCCTTCCACCATTGTTGCCGGATATCATACCAAAGGTTTGCCAAATTCATGACTGCGTTGGCCTTTGTGTCAGTATCTGGATCTTCTCGCTTTTAAAATATAGGGCAATTTGTGCTACGTTCATAAGATGAGCTGCGGATGAAACGGTGAATATCAGTCGCTGATCGATGTAGTGGGATATGGAGATGTTTTATCCGGACATCCCTGAATTGACAGGATGGCTCCATGCTTCTTGGAGGCAATTTCTCCTCAGACCTAGTCGAAATGGTTCGACGAGCTCCCTTCCACATCTGAAACTGTAATGTTTTTGGAAGTATGAATAGAATTGCGATTGGCCTAACGAGATGCCTCGAAGACCACTGATCGACGCTTATAAGCCTAATTGGTCCCATAAATCGAGAATTGATTTTATTTTGAAATGAAAATAATTGAGGCCTTGGCGTGACCTGAAGGCAGTCCGGCTGTTAGGCATAACGTTAGTGAGTCCCGTTGAGAAGAAGGAGGGCGGAGTGGGCTTGAAGAAAGAGAAAACCTTTTAAAGATGGTTTTCAAATTACTAATTCACGATATTAGCATCCTAAGTGAAAAAAACGACATGATGCGATGAAATATGTTTAATTAAAACTGAAATATTATGATAAAGTAGAAACAAAATGACCTTCATTGTGCCACATTTCATATTTCTTCAGAATTAATAATGTAAGCAATCTGTTTCATATACCTAATTTTTAATGTGAGGATCTCTATATCACTTATTGAGAACTCACCTGTAGACCCATAGCAAATGTATTTATCCGATATTGATTTTCGTCAAAAATTATGAATAAAAACTTTTGAGGAGTTAAGGGAAAAGTCACTTTGAACATTAAGGAGTTCTTGGAATTACGTATAAAGTCGGCTTTACGCACTTCATATTCTTAAGACAGATTTCATTTCGTTCTCCACACATGTGACATTGTGCTACATCTAAAGGGGCCACTACATCTGGGTTCTGAGGTGGCTTGGGTGCAACATCAGGCTTCGTCTCTTTTCCTCTTGACGGTATCCCTTGCTTGTCTAATTCCAACGATTTTCCACATTTGTTGGCAGCCATGTTATCCTGCATCTGATGAGAAAATGCATACGAGTTCGTTAGTATCAAATAAAAATCACAGGAAAATTGTTCAGCAATATATACTACTAGCAAGTTTGTTAGCCCTTCGGGCAAACAAACTCGCTTTCTTCAGTTCTCTCTTTCATTGGATCAAAAGAGATTCGGGAAAATGCGCCTTTTTGCAAAAGAAAAATGTGGCAGCAGGGGTTTTACCTGAAAAAATTTAATTTTACTGAAATCAGTACTCGAAGAACTACATGCCTACCAAGTTTCAGTCTTACCCGTTTGCCATTTATGCTGGTAAAAAAATATATTTGGAAAAGCCGACCCAGCCAAAAGCTGTGCCCTGAGGGGATTCACTGCAAGAGTGGAGTTTCCTTCTGAATTCATCACCTCAGTTACGCATGTGCCAAGATTAACCGCTTTACAGTATCTTTGCCCAATTCGGTAAGACAAAAAATTCTTTGAAGACGGCACCCCCCCAAAAAATATACCCGCAGGGATGTATCGAAGCTTGACATTTTTCTTGAACTCCTTGTCTCAGAGACATGAGGCCTCTTGGCCTATACCATAGGTTAGGTGTAAGGACAAGGGCTGATGCGTAGCATACCGCTTCGCTTGCGGATGCGAATGGGTTACATATGCAGTATTTTTCTAGCAGAGGAACAGGTAGGAAGATTTTCCCTAGACATTGCGATTTAGAGTGGATAAGCCCAATCCACTTACGGTTAATGCTATTTGCACATACTCCGTCTAATGAATAAGGTTGCTGTGGGCTGCATATACGGAATGACGTATTTTCTCCTGGACAAATGTATGCAGCTTTAGAAAGAGTTTGAAAACGGGACTTCCTTTGAGTCATGGTACTAGAAAATGGATATGAATATAACGATAAAACTCCCCATAGTCTATAAAGAATTAATGCATAAAGCGTTGAAGTAATAAGCTTGTTTTTTTCTGCCACTATATCATTTTGGAGATTTATATGCAAGGAACAGTTGACGACCACAGGCAGGAATTCAATATAAGAACACTAAATGACGCATTGAATTTTTACCCAGTGATCCTCACGCTGAAAGTCATGTGACGTGATTATGAACATTTTTTGAAGCAATTTATTTTTAAGGTGCGAGTACTGAAGGCAGGAGAATTGCCGAACCCAGTGTGTCTCGGGGTCCATGGACTTTCAAGGGCGTAAGAGGATCTTACTGATCCTCTAGGAGGTGATGGACAGTCCCAGTGGCGGCTCGTGATATTTAGCGCTAGTGGTTCGTCCTTGAAGGGCAGGGGAGGGTAGGCAGGGGAGGGCGCTGCCTACCCCCTCTCCATAGACGAACCACTAGCGCTAAATATTACGAGCCGCCACTGGACAGTCCTACTAATCGTAATAAGAAGTATATTCAGGAAGCTTTGTAATTGAATTTTTTAGGGTTTATTTTTTAAATGAATTCTTGTTACTTTATTTCGAGATAGTTGAATCCGTATTGATTTCACAATAGAGGCTATCCTGGTAGGTGTGGGACTCGCAACTTCAATTCAAACTCATTTCAATGACTTTTTTTCTGAGGAAATAGCATCCCGAAGAACCTGCCTTAGCCTTACCTGGAGTTCGTGATCTTCCATCATTTTCGGAGTAAGCGAGCCTGTCTCCTTGTCCCTGTTATGAGCTTGCTCCTCCAACTGCTCCTTTAATCCGCGCACCTAATATCACGAACAATACATTTACCTCCGATTCACCGAAAGAAAATAATTATGGCTGATAATGGGATAGAAAGAACAACCTTCGCTTCCATCTGGCGGAGCTCCGATTCGAGCATGCGATTCTTTTGTTCTATTTCTCGACGCTCGCGCTGCTCACTCTCCAGTTTCTCCTCTAGTTCATTTTTTTCTCTTCCTTTGTCCGTATCCATTGCACTCGGCAACCTCTCTAGCATTTTTTCCGGAGGGTTAATCTTATCCGCCATCTGGATAGAGATGAAAGAAAGTGAATGAGCTGCTTGGAGGCATTTACTCCTCTTTGCTTTGCTCAATAAAACAAGCAAACTCTCTCTTGAACTTCTGTCTCAATTTTCAGCCTCCCTCGTCTGACTCAATTGTTTCACAGTTGACGCAAGGAGAATTTCGCATTCATTAGTTCGATTACATATCCAACTTTTGGGCCATTCCACTATTCATATATGTACATATATAATTACATTCATTGCTTTCTCACATTATATAAGAAATAGCGCATATTTTCTTTATCATTCTGATTTCTTTGACTTTGGCCCTAGTAGCACATAACATTGAAACAACATTGGTTCACCGTTGATTCAACATCCGGATGTTAAATCAACATTGACTCAATGTTGTTTCAATGTTATGTGCTACTAGGGGGAGTTCTTTTTCCCTTTGAAGGCTAATGATTCTGATGGGCAGTATGTCAACAAATTGGGAAGCATGAGTCCAAAGCAGGAAAAAAAAAAGTTTGCATTCGATGAAGGATGTCTGTCGTCTAATTGATCGTCTGACTCTTTGTAAATGCGCTCATAAAATTTAACTGCGATAGCATGGGATGAGATTTTGCATTTCTTCAAAAGCCTTATGAATTAAACTGACGCTTCCACATGAAAAACTCCTATAGAATCCTATAAGGTATTTGAAGTATTAAAATCATTTAGGATTTTAATGGGAGTCCTACTATATTTTCATGTTTCAAAAGTCTTACAGGTCCTAGGTCCGATAGGTCATATAAGTCCTATGTGATTTTTTCTAATGGGGTAACTCACAAGAATCTGTTGGTTCATCATGTCTCCGAATCTCTTCGAAAAACGGTCTTCAAGCATGGTTGTCAATTGGTCATTGAATGCCTTCAAACTCCCAGCCAAAGCGTTCTTGAATTGCTCAGCTTCCTCGAATTTCTTCGAAAAAAACCCGTCTAGTATGTTCGTCACTTGGCCCATCATTTCCACATTGGATGCCTTCAAACTCTCATGGAGTACGCTCTTCATTTGGTCTATTATTTCTTCCTTGTTTTTCTTCGAATCATCGAGTACACTTTTCAATTCATTAATAGATTTCTCTATCCTTCGATGGCCTTCTTCCAATGCATGCAAATCCTTTTTGTCGCATGCATTCACACCTGAGAGCGATAAGGGCAAAGAAAGAAGTTAAGTTTGGGCATACCCAATGCATTAGATTATTACATACCAGTCGCAAGGGGATTCAGGACTTAGGTTTTTGTCGATAAACATCAGATAAAATATGCCTGGCTGTAACAGGTTGCAAAAACAGGCGTTCAAATCCTGTTGTCAATGAATACGGACGTCTAAAACTTTTACTTTGCGCCAAAAGTGACAGGATGAGATGGAATATGAAACTGAAGACGCTGGAAACATTGAAAACTATGGAAGCTTGACGGTTTGTTGACGAATAAGCCCTCTAAATGGTAAAAAAAAAGCATAAGAAATAAATTATAAAGGCCTTAGGGATATAATAGTGCTGTTTGACACTCTTGAAAGAGGGTAACAGTTAGGATATGCTGACCGTTGCTTTGAAGGACGTTCGCCTTTAAAAATGATTTTGCATACGTTAATTAAGGAACTCCGGACAAGAGCTTGCAATAACTGGAAAGTACCAGCCCAGGTAAAGATCTACCATTTCAATGGCCCATGTCTCTGGAATTATCCTCTTCGCCGCATCCTAACCATTCAACTTTGAAATAAATAATATCTGTGGTTGATACGACATAGGCCTACAGGCATAGGCCTATTTTCCCTGACATTTAAGTCCGGGAGAACTAAACAAATTTCTCGATGGCTTGCACGTCCGGGTCCCGCGGAGATGTGAAGATAGTATGAAGTGCAGGATGCCAGATGCGGCACTTCACGCGTACACCTAGCAACCCTGTCTAAGCGGCCGCGAGCAGCTGCCTTCTCCCATTTTTTCTACTATCAATCCCTCGTTCGCGAGGACTGGAAAGGAAATGGATGTTTTAGTGGAAGACAGGCACCCTGACTTGTCAGGTAGCAGCGAGTCAGTCATGTTGTCTGGTTTCTCTGGATACTGCGAACAGATGGAATGAAAAATAAATGAAAAAAGTGAAAGACCGATCGCAATATATACCAGGGACCAGGCAAGTGGCCTGTGCTGATTGTTTCTCTGGGCGAGTTCAAATCTAGGTGCCTTTCCCCCTTCCACATATACCTGTATACTTGTACTAGCGAGTTTGTTCTTCGGCGCTCCATTGTCCAGGATAGTGACTCATTCATTAATTCATTTTCGGCAAAAACGTATTAAAAGTGTGTACCTGTCAAAATATGACGGGACGAACCGATACTTTTTTTCGAAATAATTACTTAGATGATTTCTTGCGTGCCTCACTTCAAATCTGTTCATAATTTTCATGAGGGGACATTTGTTGCAATTCCTCCTACGTGCTTCAGGAAACCTATCAAAATATTGCAGTTCCAGTGAGTGGAGGAAGGCATCGGTCATATTAATACGCCTTCTAAATATTGGCCTCTGCTTTTCTGGTACACAAAAGGCCACTTCCAGAAATTCTTTTTTGTTCTCCGTTTTTGAATGAGAACATAACCAAAGTGCCACACTAATGACCATCCAGGATAAGTCTCTCAAGTAGCACTTCTCGGAAGATAAGCCCCCAATCATAATCGCTCAGCCTATACTCGACATGAGAAGAGTTTTAGAGGGAATGCAAAACGACCAGGAGAAAATGCGTTAGTCAATGAACAATTCCTTTCCGATTTAATAAAGTGGGAAAGAAAGGCCCAAAGGTAACTCCCATGTTTTTCTCTGAAAAAAAAATGTTTGAACAGTATCGAAACCAGAAAATGTCCAATCTTAGGATGGAGGGCTCATTGCGTCAAGAATTTCGTTAGCTCCAAACGGTGCTATTGGTTCTAAGTCAAATATTCTTGTTTAAGCAGTTTTCCATGAATGTGCGTAGTTAGAAAGTCAGACTCACCTAAAGTCTCCTGATGTTCTGCCGTGGTGTCATCTCTTCCCATTCCTTTCAGTATGTCCATAACAATCTGAAAGGTCGACTGAGGGTTTCTTCAAAAAGGATGAGGAATGCCTGCATTAAAGCATTCGTATAGACAAAAAAAAAATATGCATTTTCATTATGCAATCGACATTATCTAATAGTCTCTATGCGAGGTTTTCCGAAAGTCCTGTTATTCCTGTCCTTAACGTTTGCATCTTATAGCTCCTTTTATTACGTTACAGGTGAGGTACATTGTATGGTGCGATGTGTGACATTAACAAATACACAATCGAGGAAAGTTTGGTGGCGAGTAAATGGATCTTTAAACGTTTAAGAACTTAGAAAAAGCGGAGGAAATTCATCTGGTTTTTAGGAGAGGTTGGAAAGGAAAAAAAAATCCCTAGGTTGGTAGAGTGAGAGTCGATGAACTTCAGCCATCCTGAAGTTCAAAGTGCGTCCATCATGACTGCCACATGTAAAGTGCGCGCATCTTCCTTCGTGCAATGCCTCATCCTCCAAAGTGTTCATGCCCAATCTGACTGGAAATTAGAGTTAAGGCTACCTAATATGTTATAAGACTGGCACATACTGTATGAAGAGGCGACCAAGCGATAGATTGGACCTTAGTCTACGGCAGACAATGCACACGTCCGGCTCACATCTAATGTTAAGCCTTCATGGTCATATCACGGGCCTAGGCCTATCTCATTCATGTCCCTGGTCCCGTTGATATACTTACATTTCAGACTTGTCATAGACTCAGCGTACCTTAGGTTTATGTAGGACTCCATCTACTTCCTTTGGATGGGGAGTGTCTGCTCACTCGAACCACTCCCATTCAATAGAAATACAATATATTCATATGGTATATTTTATTTCTTCCAAAATTCAAAGTGGCACCTTCCCCTAGAGCTGACTGAATCACATTACTGTATCATATTACTCCTATACGCTTGACCCAAACGAATGAATACCATGGAGTGTTCTTTTTTTGATTGCTAAATGGAAGCTGATGAACTTGTACGGTTGTATCACATGAGAAAAATAGTAAATATATCATATAACACTTAAATGTAATACGTAGGGGTAACAGAACTTCAGGAACACTTTGTACTCCCCAGGGATCCACCCTCTGAGTAGGTTTTTTTAAGCAGCACCATAAAAGCTACATGTATTTTTTTAAACAAAGTTCTACATTTTCTCATTCGCCCAATTTTTTTTGGAGGAAAAATTTTTGCAATACTTCTGAAAATGTACTCTCAAGGAACACACTCGAGCCCGTCCCTTGGAGGCGGCAAAGCAAGAGGATCGGCGCTCGAGTGTTTCCTCCACTCCACTACCAGCAGGGGCTCTTGTCCATTCTCAATGTCTGACTTCTTTTCAATAATTGCCGAGTATCAGTTGGAAACATACTCATACGAGGGTATATGCAGTGTGAAAGTTTCGCAAAATATTTATGTTGAAAGTCATTGATCTTTTGTTGAGCCATATATATTAGATGTCCACGTGACAATCGCGCTCAGTAAAAGCATATTGAGAACATAATTTGATGGAACCTCTTCATCTTTTCTCGCATCACTGGGATATTGCATAATCAGTCGCCCAGTTCTTTAGTAGCAGGAGGGAGGGAGTTCCTCTATGTCGTAGTTGTCACTCTGAATTGATCTCAAAATAACGCCGGTCAGATCGTATCCAATGCAAAATTAGGGAAATCGTGGATCGGCATGGCCAGATCACGTCGATCGTGCACTTCGCGCTTTCGTATCTCTCTCACTTACGGATGCAGGAGGTGTATTCACGGGGGAACCGCTCTTGAGAAGGCATACACATAAATGTTCCAGTCGATCCTCACGCAAAGTCAACGAGGGTCATGGCGAAACGCGCAGACATTTCTTGAAGAGGCAAGCGAACCTGAAAACAGAGAGATTGAATGAAAACACCAACTAAAGAACTGCTTCATTGCACAGATTCATATCCCAGAGCAATTCAAGTCACTGAAAAAGTCAAAGACAGTTCTCGTCTCTTGACAGCTCCTTCGGTGGCGATGATTAGGAGGAAAACTTTTAAAAGCCCATGCAATGCGCATTACATGAGGTAAATATCAATATTGACTGCATTCCCAAGGAATGCATTTCTTTCCTTCCCAGATAAGCGTAATCTACGAGTGCATGTGACATGTCCTTGGCACCATCACTTCGAGTATCCCAATAATGGAATTCCAATCGGTCCAACTAATCCCATTTTATGGCAACCGAACCTGAACAAATACGATCTTCAGCATTCGAACCCATCCAAGCACAGGACGGTCATTTTGTAGCGAATGCCACCTACCCCACTGGGTGCACAGCGCACAATAGCATTCCATAACCTCAACCTATACAATATGGGATGTTTGTCCACAGTTGTCAATCTTATCGAGCCATACAGAGATATTTACAATGGCAGTTTATCTCTTTGCCAAGAAAGCTAAGCGTTTCCCCATCTTCAGGAAATTTTAAATCGTGATAGCATACTTTTTGGTGGACAGCACCGAATCCATGAAGAGAAGCAAGCGTCACCGCATTGTCGTCCATCATTCCTCCTGGGCTTTTTTCCAATAATGACCAGAAATTGGATATAATATGGATGTGGTCATATTATTCTAGCGATTCGAGGGGATGCTAATTGCTTTCTTCTTGATATTGGCTCAATACTGCTTCTCCGCGTCGGTTAGCTAGAATAAAATTCGTTCGTCGCTTAAATGACAAATATCAGAATTATATGTAGTAATGTGAAAACCATTTTTTCAAAGGGTTTCCCTTTCTTCAACCCCAACCCCCACCCCTTTCACTACGAAACTCACTAACCCTAGGCCTAGGCCTAACCGACGGACTATCTTTGGGTCAAGCCCAGGCCTACCTTTTTTTCGTTCAAAAGACACTCAATCCTTGACACTTCGGTAATATGGATTAATCTCTGGTCTTCCAGATCTTGTCGAAGAGGTATAAAGTTAGGCCAAATGCAGGCCTACTCAGTCTCTTATGGCTTGCAGAGAGTACGTGTGACGTTAGACCGATTAGAGGTCTGTTTCCAGTTTCATGCACCATTCCAATGCAGACGTGGAACGTTAGGCCTATCTAGAGTTCGTCGAACCGTCTCGATGAGCTCTGAGAAGAAAATGCCTCTAGGAAGCATGGAATGCAACGTGGGCGCCATTCTGTTAATTTACGGATGTCAGAGTGAGATATCTCCGCATCCATCAATTCCATCGGCCACTACTAGTTGCCATTTCGATCTCGGCTCGTCTAATGAATTCGGCGCAAAATTAGAACGCGAAACGCAATGCCGCGCCGATGTCAATCAATTGATGTCGATCAATGCTCATTTCACATATCATTCCACGTGGCACCTCAGCTCGCCAATGGTGCCCATAGAGCGTAGAAAATAAAGAAACATTTTCAACACAGGGTTATAGTTTCAGAGTAGTGTACTCCGTGGAGTGCACCTTCCAAACTTAGCAAGAACATTTCCCACTGCAATCTACAACACACCTCAGTGCAAGCGCACAGACGCGAGACCGCAACCAAGGGAAATGAACCACCCAAATGTGAGGGATTCCGCAGTCTGAGAAACATCAACAACATCTAGCTATCATCGCATCTAGCATCGCATACCAGCTCATACGAATGGAGGAAGATAAGGCAGATGCAGCAAACAGCAGTCACGATTCGATCAGTCGATCACGGCGAAACCACCATTTTATTTTACTGCAAGCTCCCCGTCCCATAGATCATTCTTTTAATTTTTTTTTGCCGTCTACCAATGCGACTGCGACACGGGAAAACCATACAACCTTTGAAGAACTTTCGCCATCGTCGGCTTCCTTGCGTCGTTCGTGAGCGCTTTCCAAGGACTGAAGATGTTGTAAGCAGAGACAATCGAGCAAGTCATTATGCAAATCTGAAATTCTGCAAGTTGAGAAATGGACCTCCACAAGGAAACTGCAGTGACGTACTTCTTTGCGGTGCCCGTGTGAACGCAAGTGGCGAAATAGAATTTCCTTAAACGCTTAAAATCCCTTTTCTTCCCGGCAGCAGGCGGGAGGAACTGTAGTGAGCGATGCCATCGTTCCCTGGCGAGTACCACGGCAACTCTCGTCTCCTCGTTCATCCGAAAGATGGCGAGACGAGAGGGAATCTAAAGGTTTTCCGTGAAAGTTTCCTCCCCTCCCTTTCGCGAGGCTGATTTGAATCATGTCGAAAAGATACATCCTCAGATGATAAGGAAGAGTTCCGTCGAAACCTCAAGTTCATATCTCGAAGCGTTTGACCTGTAAAGCTCACACACACACACGAACAAACACATTTGTCGCTTGGCCTAGGCAGCGGTCAGTATCGCGCACGCTATAAGTTTAATCTCCGCTATTTTAATCTATATGTTGCGAAGCAACCGAGGTCCTCCGGTTTGAAATATAACTTTACAGCCAAAATGGCAGACAATTAACCAGCTGTGAAATTTTCTAGAATGAGCAATCGCTTTCCGAGCCTTGGCACGGTGGGAAAACGATCCATAATTTCCCACGTGATACTCCACAGCTATTTCTCTGAAAATAAACATGGAATATATATGCCTCCTGCGCATCGTGCCATCCCTATGCATGAACCAGTCAAGGTCAAAGACAGCCCGACGGTAGCGTTTATTCTGAAAGAAGCTGCAGAAAAGATGCATAGGAAAAGGAACGGCGCTCGAAAAGTGCTCAGTGTGCGACGAGGGCCATGGGGTCATCCAGTGGGATGAGGCAATACAAGCCCCCCCCGCAGGACTCGACGCGGCAGCACCTGCGGTAAGGAATGACGCAGTCCTCGTTCTTCGTGCAGGCCTGGAAGGCCTCTCCTCCGAAGAGATTGCAGTCCTCTTGAGGCAGGGTCAGATTGAGAACGGGACACTGAGGGACGAGGAGGTCAGCGGGGATCTGGGTCACCTTCGCGGCCGCGGGCGCCACGCATCTCCAAACCCGATCCTTATCGGGACAGCATTTCTGGTTCCCGGGACATGAGACGTCGAACGTGCATCCCCTCCGATCGATGACTTCCGGGGAACTGAACGGATTCAAAACGTCTTCCATTCCGTCCGGGCAATATCCTTCACGGATGGGACTCGCGACCGCCAGCGGTTCTTGGCGGGGAATCTTCTCAGTCACTTCTTGGGCGACCGGGGAGGAACAGTCCCAGATGTAGTCGTCAATCGGGCAGCATTTCAGGTCGTCGGCGCAGTACCCGTCGTCGAGGCATCTGTTCGGCATGAAATCCACCGGTTGCTTGAAACCCGTCGGGAGGCCAGGCATGTAATAATTGCAGAAACCTGGCTTCTGCACGACCTCCCGCGTCTCGTTCATGCTGCTATTCAACCCGTCCGAATCTTAACACCGACAAAAACCAAATTTACCGTTTTACGAATCCTCCTCTGGAAAAAAAGAATAAGTTACGGCATACCGACTGGAGTCGCATCACCGATGATTCTCCAAAGGAGGACGACCGAGTAAAGCAGGAAACTTGCCATGTTTGCAGGAGCAGAGAACCGCTTTCGGCACTGAGTCTGACTACGATCTAATCCCAGCAGGCGTCCCCGCTTAAATCCCATGCTCCCTTCCGTGTTTCCTCTCATTTTTTCTCTCTTTATTCCTCCCAATATGTTACTTCCCCGCTCACGGATCGTGCCCGAGTTTGAATCAGTCACGAGACGGGTGCGCCAGGCTCCCGACTCATTAATCTGACAGCGAGCAGACACATTCATATCCTGCCACGCCATTGTAGTGCCAGGTGAGACGAAAGTGGCTCACCTGGCATTCCCATTCCAGCTTCTCGTTTGTTCTCGCTCCTGGCATCCGGCTCGGGCGGACCAGCCGTGACGATCCCATAGAGTTAAGCCGGTTTCATTTCTCATATTTTCGTCACCACATCTTGATTTTTCATACGATAGTCCCCTGACCTCCTTAATCATTTTGAAACTCGAAAAACCCTTTAGGATTCCTAGAGGAATATTATAGGTAACTAAGATGTTTCCTATTGGAGCTCATAGGTATTTCATTGAATCTAATATGATCCCATAGGTATATGAAGTAATTTGAAAACCAATTGTCAATGGCTTTCCTTTTCTTCAACCTCCCCCCTTCATTACGAGACTCACTGACGTTAAGCCTAGGCCTAACCAACAGATTGCCTTCAGGTTACACCAAGACCTACCATTTTTCTTTCAATAATAACTCATTTCTCAACTTACGGGGTCAATTGCCCTATGAGGGTGAATCCATGGTGTTCCAGACATCTCGTTGAGGACGAGTAACGTTTGAAGACGTGTAATGTTAGGCCAATCGCAGGCCTATTCACACGTTCATGAACCATTTCAGAGAGGACATGTAACGTTAGAACGATTTGGGGCCTGTTTCGCGTTTCACGAACCATTTAAGTGGGACGTGGAAAGTTAGGCCTATCTGGAGTTCCTCGAACCATCTCGAATATGTCTGAGGAGGGAGTGCCTCCAGGAAACATGAAATCCATGGTGCGCGCCATCCTGTTAATTCAGGGATGTCCGGATAAGATATCTCCATATCCTATCAATCTATTTATCACTGCTAACCACCGCTTCATTTTCAGCTCATCTCATGAACTCAGAACAAAAATTTCTCATTATAAAGCAGATCAGACGCCGTATGAAGGTTGAAGTAGTCTTGAACCTGGCATAATTTCGGCACGACATCCAGCAACACTGGGGGACGATACCGGAGCCAGCAATCTAATCCTAATTGAACGACAGCTAATTTCCTTTTTTTCATGGTTAAATGGTACAACCAAAAAAGCCACTTTTCGTCATCTACTGTACGAGTCAACATCTTTCTTATGGTTCATCTCTTTCCTCCGAAAACCCCCAGGAGTGGCTACCCGGAAGGGGGGGTGAAGAACGGAAAAAGATTCACATCTTCAAAAAGCGAAATTCAATGTTCTCTACAACCCCAGGGAGATGGAGCTTCAAATTTGCAGAAGCAAATTTGTAGCTCTACCTGTGTTGTGAAAGGAAGAAGCGTGTCAAATTTCGTTGCAATTGATGCTCTCAGTGAGGAATAGGAGGGGGTTGAATTTTGCTACGGGAAGAGGTTGAAGAAAGGAAATAGGCGCTGCCAAAGCCTATTGAGAATAGAAACCCATAGGATCCTTTAGAACCTTTTCGTAAGGGAGCATTCAACTTGAATAACTTGGGGGTGTTTTTCCCTGATCACGGGGAAATTTCTATCCGACGTGGAATTCCATTGAGAGGGTGTAAGAGTGTCAGTAAGGTGTCAGTCATTGACCAGAACGCATTCCGAATCACTTCACCGGAAGTGTCTCACGTTGTCGGATCATCTCCGCGATCAATCCAGCTGACTAAATGTCGATTCTTTCTCGGAAGACAACGATTCCAATGAATCCCCGCCGACGCATGACCCCCTCTCGCTTTCCTCGAAGGAAGCGTGAGCCACGCAAGTGCTGTCGCACTGAACGGGATTCCACGGCACGTAAACATGGGAGTGGCGATATAGAGAGAAGGGGGAAGACTGTTAGTTCTTTCACAATTATTACTGGTAACTCCCACTGTCCAGGACAAATGGGGAAATCCAATATACGATACCGGCCAAAGAGAACGAGCGACGCTACAGCAACCAAATTTTGAGCATTTATTTGAGACATCGAGAAATGGAAATGATGAATCAGACTCTGATATCTAGAATTCAGGTTGCGCGATAAAACCATGCGACGATGGTAGAGAAAGAAACAAGGCCGCTGTGAGAGTCGTTTGGTTGTTTGTAGGCCATGCATTGTATCAACTGTCGTCCGGTCACATGATTACATAACGCCTCCGGGAAGCCAGGTCTCCTAGAGCCATTCATCATTTGCACACCACGATGTCCCCGATGACTGCCCAAAATATGGCGACACTAGCATCCCTCGTTCTGCGTATTCCATTTTTTTTTTCTTGCCCATTGGGTACAGGACGTTTGAAGTGACTTCCGCTGCTCAGACGACTGCCTCCAGGAAACCGACACGGCGTTGTGAAATTTGGACCGACTTGACCGTGCGGAAGAAAACGTACGCTGTCGTGTGGTGGTTTATGATCTGCCTTTTTATTAATCATTTATAAGGTTTCTTCCATTCTCAAATCGATTCATGAATTCCTGTTGCTTCCAGCCGACTATTTTATTTCCTTTGAATCACCTACAAGCAGAGAAGTCAGTAAGTTGACTTGATGAACTTGGGAAAAATTTTCCCATTTCGATTTATATATTTTTCAAGAGGAAAAGACATCAACATGTAACTCTGATCCATGTCAGTCTCCCCCCGACATTGCTGGGATTGATTGGCCTCGCCTCGTCTCCTGACAAGTTCTGAGAAGTTCAACGCTCTGACAGGTGAAATTCCATTGTCTTCGGATCGAATTCCAGCGGAAAATGCATCATATGCAAGCCTCACACACAAACAGAATCAAATTCGTTCTCACACGACAAGCACAAAATAGGATTTCTCGAATATTCTGTTCATTCATTGTTCATTCATTCATTGGCCATCACATCGCATTGCCCCATTTCTGGACAGACACGTAGTGACGGAGGGCCAAGAAGACTTCAGCTTATGTTCAGGGACGTAATAGGGATGTAATAGCATCGCCAATATTTATGGAGCGCAAATGGGTCGAAGATCAAGATCATGAATTTATTCTGGATCTAGCTTAGAATCTAAAAATAAAAAAAAATTGTCTATTATATCCCATCAATTAAATTGTCCAAAAGAGAAGTCCGTGGTAAAACCTCTATACAACGGAACCCAAATCAACATGAAACAGATATAAAGTTGGGAAAGTCTCTATAACAATATGAGATACCATTTCCTACCGGTTTTTGGAGCTTAATTTTTTTTAATTTCAGCGCAACTGCGAAAAATTTTGTTTTATTTTCACAAACAAAAACAGTTATATGGCATTTCAGAAAAACAGGGTGAGACATACAAATTAATAATAAAAAAAAGACATTCATCGATCAAAGATGATTAAATTGAAAGAAGCAAAGCATCGCCTTCAATTGTGCGGATAAGTAACACTTCCTCCCTGAGAATCTCTAACTTTCTCCTGCAGTCCAATAGAGTTCATGAAAAACAACAACACGTTTTCAAAGCAGATGAAGTGAATCATCATGAACTATCCGTTTGGGACTCCCGCTTATTTGACGACCCATCTAGAAACAAGGGACAACACTCTGTCGTCAATCATTTCAGTTTACCTTCACATGTTCGGAAATAGTCACCATCATATTCCTTTCGGGACAAAATAAAGAATACCAGTCTTCTTCATCCACTGCTTCCACCTCCACCACCCAATCCACCACCTCCTCCTCCACTACCTCCTCCTCCACTACCTCCTCCGCCACTACTTCCTCCTCCACTACCTCCTCCACCACCTCCCCCACTACTTCCTCCTCCACTACCTCCACCACCATTGCCTCCACCTCCACTACCTCCTCCTCCACTACCTCCTCCACTACCTCCTCCACTACCTCCTCCACTACCTCCTCCACTACCTCCTCCACTACCTCCTCCTCCACTACCTCCACCACCATTGCCT